AACTGGGAATGGTTCCTCAAACTGGGAATGGTTCCTCAAACTGGGAATGGTTCCTCGAACTGGGAATGGTTTGGTCAACTGGAGAACCAAACTGGGAATGGTTCCTCAAACTGGGGAACCCAACTGGGAATGGTTCCTCAAACTGGGAACGGTTCCTCAAACTGGGAATGGTTTCTCCAACTGGAGAACCCAACTGGGAATGGTTCCTCAAACTGGGAACGGTTCCTCAAACTGGGAAACCCAACTGGGATTGGTTCTTACAACTGGGGAACCCAACTGGGAATGGTTTCTCATACTGGGAACCCAACTGGGAATGGTTCCTCAAACTGGGAACGGTTCCTCAAACTGGGAATGGTTCCTCAAACTGGGAACGGTTCCTCAAAGTGGGAAACCCAACTGGGAGTGGATCCTCAAACTGGGAACGGTTCTTCCAACTGGAAAACCCAACTGGGAATGGTTCTTACAACTGGGGAACCCAACTGGGAACGGTCCCTCAAACTGGGAATGGTTTCTCCAACTGGAGAACCCAACTGGGAACAGTTCTTCCAACCGGAAAACCCAACTGGGATTGGTTCTTACAACTGGGGAACCCAACTGGGAGTGGTTCCTCAAACTGGGAACGGTTCCTCAAACTGGGAATGGTTCCTCAAAGTGGGAAACCCAACTGGGAATGGTTCCTCAAACTGGGAATGGTTCCTCAAACTGGGAATGGTTCTTCCAACTGGGAAACCCAACTGGGAGTGGTTCCTCAAACTGGGAAACCCAACTGGGAGTGGTTCCTCAAACTGGGAATGGTTCCTCAAAGTGGGAAACCCAACTGGGAATGGTTCCTCAAACTGGGAATGGTTTCTCCAACTGGGAACGGTTCCTCAAACTGGGAACGGTTCCTCAAACTGGGAACGGTTCCTCAAACTGGGAATGGTTTCTCCAACCGGAGAACCCAACTGGGAACAGTTCTTCCAACCGGAAAACCCAACTGGGATTGGTTCTTCCAACTGGGGAACCCAACTGGGAATGGTTCCACAAACTGGGAATGGTTCCTCAAACTGGGAATGGTTTCTCCAACTGGGAACCCAACTGGGAATGGTTCCTCAAACTGGGGAACCCAACTGGGAATGGTTCCTCAAACTGGGAATGGTTCCTCAAACTGGGAGTGGTTCCTCAAACTGGGAATGGTTCCTCAAACTGAGGAACCCAACTGGGAACGGTTCCTCAAACTGGGAACGGTTCCTCAAAGTGGGAAACCCAACTGAGAATGGTTCCTCATACTGGGAATGGTTCCTCAAACTGGGAATGGTTCTTCCAACTGGGAAACCCAACTGGGAACGGTTCCTCAAACTGGGAATGGTTTCTCCAACTGGAGAACCCAACTGGGAACGGTTCTTCCAACCGGAAAACCCAACTGGGATTGGTTCTTCCAACTGGGGAACCCAACTGGGAATGGTTCCTCAAACTGGGAGTGGTTCCTCAAACTGAGGAACCCAACTGGGAACGGTTCCTCAAACTGGGAACGGTTCCTCAAACTGGGAATGGTTTCTCCAACTGGGAGTGGTTCCTCAAACTGGGAATGGTTCCTCAAACTGAGGAACCGAACTGGGAATGGTTCTTCAAACTGGGAATGGTTCCTCAAACTGGGAAACCCAACTGGGAACGGTTCCTCAAACTGGGAATGGTTCCTCAAACTGGGAATGGTTCTTCCAACTGGGAAACCCAACTGGGAATGGTTCCTCAAACTGGGAACGGTTCCTCAAACTGGGAACGGTTCCTCAAACTGGGAATGGTTTCTCCAACTGGAGAACCCAACTGGGAACGGTTCTTCCAACCGGAAAACCCAACCAGCCCCAACTCTCCCAACCCCAACTGACCAACCCAACCCACCCCAAACCCCGCAGGCGGCGCCACGGCGGCGCCGAGCGTCTTCGTCTTCCCGCCGCCGCCCGAGGAGCTGGCCCGGGGCGAGGCGGCCACCTTGACCTGCCTGGCGGCCAACTTCGCGCCGCGCGACGTCCTCCTCACCTGGACGCAGGGGGACGCGCCGGTGGAGCCGGCGAGGTTCTCCACCTTCGGGCCGCAGCCGGACGCCGGCGGCGCCGGGACCTTCTCGGTCTACTCCAAGCTGGAGGTGCCGGCGGCCGAGTGGCGGCGCGGCGACGTCTTCGGCTGCGTGGTGGGACACGAGGCCGTGGGCGGCGTGAAGTTCGTGCAGAGGAACCTGGACAGGTCCACGGCGCGGCCGGCCAACGTCAACGTCTCCGTGGTGCTGGCCGACAGCGACGCCGTGTGCTACTGAGCCGCTTTTGGGGCGAATAAAGGAGATTTTGAGAAGTTAAAATCGGGGGTTTTGGTGGTTTTTGGGGAGAAATGGGGTTTTGGGGGGAAATTCCGGGATTTTAGGAGGCAAAATGTCGATTTTTTAGAGGTAAAATGTGGATTTTGGATGGAAAACGTCGATTTTAGAAGGCAAAATGTCAGTTTTTGGAGGGAAAATCTGGATTTTGGGTGGGAAATGTGGATTTTAGGAGGAAATGTGGAATTGGGGTGAAATCGGTCAATTTTAGGATGGAAAATGTGGATTTTAGGAGGCAAAATGTCAATTTTACAAGGCAAAATGTGGATTTTTGGAGGGAAACGATTGATTTTGGGTGGGAAATGTGGATTTTAGGAGGAAATGTGGATTTGGGGTGAAATCGGACGATTTTCAGATGGAAAATGTGGATTTTGGGTGGAAAATGTGGATTTTAGAAGGCAAAATGTCGGTTTTTGGAGGGAAACGATTGATTTTGGGTGGGAAATGTGGATTTTGGGAGGAAAAGTGGATTTGGGGTGAAATCGGTCGATTTTAGGATGGAAAATGTGGATTTTAGGAGGCAAAATGTCGGTTTTTGGAGGGAAACGATTGATTTTGGGTGGGAAATGTGGATTTTAGGAGAAAAAGTGGATTTGGGCTGAAAGTGGTCGATTTTAGGATGGAAAATGTGGATTTTGGGTGGAAAATGTCGATTTTAGAAGGCAAAATGTGGATTTTTGGAGGGAAACGATTGATTTTGGGTGGGAAATGTGGATTTTAGGAGGAAAAGTGGATTTAGGGTGAAATTGGTGGATTTTAGGATGGAAAATGTGGATTTTGGGCAGAAAATGTCGATTTTAGGATGGAAAATGTGGATTTTTGGAGGAAAAGTGTATTTGGGGTGAAACTGGTCATTTTAGGATGGAAAATGTGGATTTTTTGGGGTAAAACGCGGATTTTTGGGGGTAAAACGCGGATTTTTGGGGGTAAAACGCGGATTTTTGGGTGGAAATGTGGATTTTCGGAGGAAATGCGGATTTTTGGGGGTAAAATGTGGATTTTTGGGGTAAAACGAGGAAGTTGGTGCAGAGGAACCTGGACAGGTCCACGGCGCGGCCGGCCAACGTCAACGTCTCCGTGGTGCTGCCGACAGCGACGCCGTGTGCTACTGAGCCGCTTTTGGGGCGAATAAAGGAGATTTTGAGAAGTTAAAATCGGGGGTTTTGGTGGTTTTTGGGGAGAAATGGGGTTTTGGGGAAAAATGGGGTTTTGGGGGGAAATTCCCAGAATTTGGGAGGAAAAATGTGGATTTTTAGAGGTAAAATGTGGATTTTGGGTGGAAAACGTGGATTTTAGAAGGCAAAATGTTGATTTTTGGGTGGAAAAGACTGGATTTTGGGTGGAAAATGTCGATTTTAGAAGGCAAAATGTTGATTTTTGGGTGGAAAAGACTGGTTTTGGGTGGAAAATGTGGATTTTAGGAGGAAATGTGGAATTGGGGTGAAATCAGTCGATTTTAGGATGGAAAATGTGGATTTTGAGACCTAAATGTGGATTTTAGAAGGCAAAATGTCGGTTTTTGGAAGGAAACGATTGATTTTGGGTGGGAAATGTGGATTTTAGGAGAAAAAGTGGATTTGGGGTGAAATCGGTCGATTTTAGGATGGAAAATGTTGATTTTGGGTGGAAAACGTCGATTTTAGAAGGCAAAATGTCAGTTTTTGGAGGGAAAAGACTGGTTTTGGGTGGGAAATGTGGATTTTAGGAGGAAAAGTGGATTTAGGGTGAAATTGGTGGATTTTAGGATGGAAAATGTGGATTTTGGGTGGAAAATGTGGATTTTAGAAGGCAAAATGTCAGTTTTTGGAGGGAAAATCTGGATTTTGGGTGGGAAATGTGGATTTTACAAGGCAAAATGTGGATTTTAGGTGGAGAAGTGGATTTGGGGTGAAAAATGTCAATTTTAGGATGGTAAAATCTGGATTCTTGGGTGGAAATGCAGATTTTTGGGAGGTAAAATGTGGATTTTGGGAGTTAAATGGGGATTTTAGGAGGAAATGTGGATTTGGGGTAAAATCGGACGATTTTAGGATGGAAAATGTGGGTTTTGGGTGGAAAATGTTAATTTTAGAGCAAAAAATGTAGATTTTTGGGAATAAAATGTGGATTTTAGGTGGGAAAAGTGGCTTTGGGCTGAAATCGATCGATTTGGGCTGTAAAATGTGGATTTTTGGGTGAAAACTGTCGATTTTGGGCGGAAAAATTTGATTTGGGGTGAAATTTTCCCACTTCCCCCCCCCCTTTTAATTCTTGTTTTTCGCCCCTTTTTTTTTCTCTTTTTTGTTTGTTTTTTTGCCTTTTTTTTTGCTTTTTTTT